AGGCTGACCTGGTCAGGGCCACTTCAGTGCCAGCTTCTATGGGGTCACCCAGCCAGCTCCAACAAGGCTGCAGGGAGAACCCTACCTAGCAGGGAAGAGGGGCGGGGAGGCCAGGCCTCTGCCCGGGCCAAGCACTCACCCAACACATGCTTTCAAAGTCACCTTTGGTGGCAGCTCACCTTGTGGATCAGCACAGTGCCACAGAGGCCCCGCCGGCCAGCCTTCTTCAGGACGGTGAAGGCGCTGTCATCCCCAATGACCACCATCTCCACGGGGATGCCCTCGGCACGGGCCTGCTCCCGGGCCAGGCCAAAGTTGAGCCGGTCCCCAGTGTAGTTCTTCACAATGAGCAGAGTCCCCACTGCAGGAGTGGCCGGGGGCTGTCAGCATCTGTCCTCCCTGCTCATGTGCCCTGCCCGCAGGAGCCCTGCGCCAGCTGACCTGTGCCCGCCTGGGCCACCGTCCTGATGGCCGCCAGGATGCTGCCCACAGCCGGGGAGGTGAACACGGCTCCCGCGATGACGCCTGTCAGCATCCCCTTCCCAATGAACCCTGGAGATGCAGGCGGGCAGGATGGCGCCGGGTAGGGACAGTGCCCACACTCCCAGGACTCAGTGGCTTCCCCACACACTTGCCAGAGCATTTCCCTGCTGGCTGCCGCCTGTGCCCTGGCAGGATGACAGCCCCAGGAGAGCAGGGGCCTTGTCTGTGGGCTCACAGTGGACCTGTGCCCAGGACATGCCGTGTACCCAGCAGCCTTGCTGGTCTTGCCAAGGGAGACAGGACAGCCACTGGCACACAAAGCCTGGTCCTGCCCTCTGGACCTCATGCCAACCAGAGACAACCCGAGGTGCCCCTGTGTGGGATCCAGTGGGGCACAGGAGCCCTGAGTCAGCAAGAGGCGGGAGGGGCAGAGGCAGGGCCAGGAGATTCAGCAGTGACAGCCCCAAGAGCTGAGACCCAAGGTCCAACCTCACGCTCCTGTAGGCACAGAGCCCATGGCCCTGCACCCAGGTCACTCACCGGCGTGGGCAGGTTCATGGCCCGAGCCTCCACCTGACAGCAGTGCCACACGGCCCCTGAGGGTGTCCAGATCAGAGCGCAGGGCCACACGGTGGCCCTGCAGGAGCTGCAGACCAGGGTTGCAAGCCACCAGGCCAGCCAGGGCATCATCCGCGCAGCCTGCCACTGAGTTCACCAGCTTCTTGGAGGTCTGTGGGAGAAGGGCGAGGGCATGGCATACTGCTGTGCTGAGGACCCCTCTCCACAACGACCCATGGGCTCCAGGGACACAGCAGCACTTTGACGTGGGCCTTGCTTCACCAGGAAGGTGATTCTATGACTCTCCTTTTTTTGGTGGGGGAAAGACAGGATCTTGCCATGTAGGCCAGGCTGGCCTTCAACTCATAGGGATCCTCTTGCCTCAGCCTCCGGAGTGATGAGTTTGCAGACATTGCTCCACCACACCTGGCTTCTGTGACTTTTTTTTTTTGGTAACGGGAATCGAACTTGGGTCCTTGTGCTTGCAAGGCAGGCGGCAAAACCACTGAGCTAAAGCCCTGGCCCTTGTGACTTCAGTTCTTCATGACTCTTTATTCAGTGCTTAATAAACATTTTGTGTCGTGGCTTCAGCTTGCCCTGAAAAATGGCTTTAATACAAAGAAAACAGGGGCAACCCATTTTCCAGCCCCCTTCTGACTCTCTTACAAAGAAGCTTTCTTTCCCTCAATAAATTTTTCCTATTCTTTAAAAAAAATACAAAGCAAACAGGGGAGTTATAGTCCTCAGTATAAGAGTAATGAATGTGGGTTGTACACCTGATTCTGTCACAGGAAGAGCATCAGGCTGCTGCCCCTGGCCAGGGTAGAGAACCAAGCCAGGCTCTGCAGTCACAGGGACTTGGGTTCAAATCCCGCTCCTGCCTCTGAGGAGCGAGAACTCCCAGAGCTGCATCACTGAGTGCAGTTCTTCCTCTGACCGTTAGGATATAATGTGCACCTGTGAGGCAGAGCAAGCTCAACAGGAAGGAACTGCTCCCCTTTCTGTGAAGCTAAGGGAGCTGTAGGCTGGGACTCAGCCCCTTCCTCTGTCCTCAAGACACAGCCAGACCCCACTCATTGTGGGCCCAGCACCACCTGGTGGCCTAGAGGTGGGCTGCGGCTCAGCCAGGTTCTGGCAGGTGGCCTCTGCCGCCTCAGCTCCTTTTGTGGGTGGGGACTCCGAGGGCAAAACACACCCTTGGTGCCTCCCTGCCAGCCTGTCCTGAGTCTAGCAAGGGCCAAGGCCATGCCAGCTGCTTAAGGGTGAGGACAGAAGCTCAGGCCAGGGGGCAACCCAAATAGTAAGATCGGCTGTCCGTCATTCGATTCCCTAGGAATCCCATGGGAAGAAAGATCAGTCCAGAGAGCAGACAGACACAGCTACACAGGCAGCAAGAGTCCGGGTCTGCCTGGCTCAGAAGGTGGTCCCGCTGTAGCCTTTTGCTGCTTCCCTGAGGTGCTGAAAGGAGGTGCAGGGCAGCAGAAGTCTTGCCCGAGCACTGGGGAGGCTGAGGCAGGTGGATCGCTGTGAGTTCGAGACCGTCCTGGGCTGCACAGTGAGTTCCAAAGCAGTCTGAACTACATAGTGAGACCCTGTCTCAAAAAACCAAAAAGAAAGTCGTCTCGCCCAAGGAAGTGCAGGGACAGGGACGTGACGTGAGGCTGTGAGCTGCTGTCCACTCCAAGCCCAGCTTCTGTCACCATTCTCACCTTCCAAGAATCTGTCCTACCTGAGACTCTCTACCATCCCTGCCCTGGAGCCACAGGAGGGCCTGGGGACAGCGCCACCCTGGCTCCCAGAGATGAGAGGGGAGAGGAAAGGAGGCATCATGCGAGGCCATGGACTCTGGCCTGACCAGAGTCCTCAACACCTCACAGCCCCTCGCTAGCAGGTTTTAACCTGCCACATCACAGATGAAGAAAAGCGGCTCTGAGAGGCCATGCTTTCTGTAAAAAGTCACACAGCTAGTGGGTACCGGGTTAAAATCTGAACCCAGCTCTGCTCTCAGCTCACCCTGGTGCAGATCAGCTTTAAGAGCAGCCTGCAGCAAAGCCCAGGGGTGTGATGAGCCTCCCACCCTGTAGTCAGGACCAGCCCACCCTGCCCTGGCTCCCGAAGGACAGCTCATTCTTCCAGGTTCCTTCTGTGACCAGTGACAGAACAAGTAACTGTCACTGTTCTAATCTAAATGTATGACCCAGACATGGGTAGATGGAGAGCACTTTCAGAGGGAGGCAGAGGCCACCTCAGCCTGGCTGGGACAGTGGCCAGCAAGGCAGGAGAGAAGCAGGGTTGAGGCCAACAGAGTGGGGGTGGGCCTCTCTCTCAACCTCTGGATGTCAGGAGGCAGCAGCTGCTGGTTGGGGTTTAACGAACTCCTGGAGCCCAGGCTTCAAGACCTCAGTGTCCTCCCCTGCCCTGGCCCCCAGGACTCACCATGGTGGTGCAAGCTGCTTCTGCCTCTTCACGAAGCTGCTGCTGGTGGGTGGTCTTGTGGGTGCTGCCTGGTCTGAGCACAGCAGAGCTGGCAGCTGTACCTGCAGGGGTGGATACAACTGGAGCCACTGTCGGTTGGCAGTACACTGGCAGTTGAACCTCCAGTGCCCTGGGGATCAGGGAGCTGCCCCAGACTTTGATCCAAGTCCAAATTCTAGAACATGGGCTGGGGATGGAGAGCAGCATGGGGCTGACCAAGGTTCACACCTGCACCTGGCTGATCGATCTGTGGGGCACAGGGCTGCCCTACGCCCAGCACCAGCACCCAGTTCATAATTGGAGAGCAAAGCAAGCCACATGTGACTTCAATTTACACAGGCTTCTTACAGTAAGGAAAGCTACAAAGATCTCCACACACTTGCTCTTGTTGGCCCTGGCACCACACCAGGAGGGAGCCAGCTGTTACTGTTTTACTTCTGGGAAACAAAGCTCCAAGGTTTGTCCAGGGTCATCCTGATGTGAGGACCCAGACCCCCGTTCAGCCCTTCTACAAATCCTGTGCCCTTTCTGCTGATAATGCAATGCTTCAAGTCAGGCAGTCCTGCTGTGAGAACCCAAGATGTAAATCTCACCCAGGAGTGAGTGTGTGTGTGTGTGTGTGTGTGTGTGTGCAACCCAGCTCTGGTTCTGCACCAGAGCTACCTGGATTTATGTGGGGCCTTTAGGTAAACCGATTCACTTGTAAAGCAGAAGCAAGCTCCTCCCAGCATCCTGCAGATCTGATGAACGGCCGAGCCTGAAGGGCCTTCCGGATCACCAAAGTCCCCCACCAGCCAAACCCAGGGCCTGCGGTTGGGATCTGTGTCGCAATGGGGGCGCTGATAATGCCGGGCCCCTTTCATTATCCATAATAATAACGGGCGAAGCGGGGCCAGGCAAGAGCCCTGAAGGGTGAGGAGGTTGGGTCGGCCCGGTCGGACACAGACCCTGTCGCCTCGCGCCCCACTAGTCTCTGCGGTCCTTCCGATTACGGGGAAACAGCTCCCAGGGCCCTTGGAGCGATGGAAAGGCGGAGTCGGGGGCTGAGGGCGGGTTGGGGCGCGGACCAGGAGGGAAGGTAAGCTAGGAGGACGGCTGGCTAGATCCCACCACGACCCCACCCCTGCCTCCGCTCCGCTGCTGGAGTACCCGAAAGGCGCGCTCTCATCCGGGACTTCGGACGCC